CTTCAGAGTTTGATAAGCATACTCCCTGTCATCAAACACTAGCAGATATAAATACGCAACCTCATCAAGATCCATCCTTCCCATCAACAAACCAAGATGGCTTCCCTGTGCAGCCACTTCTGGTCAGGATTGGCCTTGGTGTAATGTCAGGGCTCCCAGGTGTGACCAGAGGTGTGTGACTGACGCAGGGAAAACGCAGACTTCAGATATGTTATAAACAATATAATTTATTAACACTAACAATACAAACATAAACGCAGTGCAATACTAAACATAATACAGTGCAAACAAACCAAACCAACCACCCACAGATAACAGTACATACAAGCAAGCGTCGTCAGGCAGGCCGGGTCAATATCAATTGGGCAGGTAGGTACAGGGGGGGCAAGCGGAGATTGGTCGGGGTCACAGGCCAGGTTCAGCAGGTAGCAAGCAGCGTAGTACAGAGGGTCAGGCAGAGGGATGGTCAGGGTCACAAGCCAGGGATCAGAACAGGTAGCAAGCAGCGTAGTACAGAGGGTCAGGCAGAGGGATGGTCAGGGTCACAAGCCAGGGATCAGAACAGGTAGCAAGCAGCGTAGTACAGAGGGTCAGGCAGAGGGATGGTCAGACAAGCCAGGGATCAGAGCAGGGTCAGCAGAGAATCAGACAGGAACAGAGAGCAGGAACAGGATACAGGGCCCAAGAGAAACACAACACCAAGGCAGAGTCTGCAAGTCTGGCCATCCCTTAAATACCCCAGCATAATCAGTTCCAGGTGTTAGCTGGCTGCAAAGTTAAGTCTCTGATTGCTGGGAGCACCCGCTGGCCAGCCCTGGTACTGCAGATCAAAAGGCAGGTGAGTCCCACCATTGCTGGCTAGTCCATTCCTGACAGTATGACTTGTTTGTTGTTTTTAAAAAAAAGCTGAACTTTTAGCATCACTTTAACCACCTCCCGCCTCGCCCGCCATATAGTAATATGACGGACGCAAGGTGGTTCTCTCGTTCTGGGAGGACGTCATATGACATCCTCGCATTCTCACCGATCCCTCAGACACAGCGGATCACCGATCACGGAAAGAGGCGAAGATGTCGGCTCGGTCATGTGATCAGCTATGTCCAATCACAGCTGATCACATGTAAACAGGGAAATGCCGGTTATCGGCATTTCTCTCCTCTGGAGCTGTCATGCTAACAGCTCGAGAGGAGAGGAGAGCCGGTAATCGGCTTTCCGCGGAGGGGACATCTACACTGATCATCAGGGCACTGATGATCAGTGTGCCCTGATGATCAGTGTAGCCCCAGCAGTGCCACCTGTGTCAGTGCTCATCAGTGCCTCGTGCCAGTGCCCATCAGTGCCAGATCAATGTCACATATCAGTGCCTACCTGTGCACATCAATGCCACATATCAGTGCCTACCTGTGCACATAAATGCCACATATCAGTGCCCATCTGAGCTGCCTTTCAGTGTCACCCATCAGTGCCAGTCAGTGCCACCTATCAATGACAATCAGTGCCACCTATCAGTGCTTCCAATCAGTGCCACCTATCAGTGCCAGTCAGTGCTGCATATCAGTGCCGCCTATCAGTGCCTGTCAGTGCCGCCTAGCAGTGCCAGTCAGTGCCGCCTATCAGTGCCGCCTATCAGTGCTATGTATCAGTGCTGCCTTTCAGTACCCATCAGTGATGCCTGTCAATGCCCATCAGTGCCACCTACCAATGCCTCCTCATCAGTGCCCATCAGTGCCACCTATCAGTGCAGCCTATCAGTGCCCATCACTGCAGCCTCATTAGCACATATCAGTGAAGGAGAAAAATCACTTATTTACAAATTTTATAACAAAAACTAAGAAAAAAACTTTTTTTTTTCAAAATTTTCAGTGGTTTTTGGTTTGTTTAAGAAAAAATAAAAAACCCCAGAGGTGATTAAATACCACCAAAATAAAGCTCTGTCTGTCACAAAAAAAATTATAAAAATTTCATATGGGTACAGTGTTGCATGACCGCGCAATTGTCATTCAAAGTGTGACAGCGCTGAAAGCTGGAAATTGGCCTGGGCAGGAAGGGGGTATAAGTGCCCTGTAGGCAAGAGGTTAAGGCTTTTACCTTAATGCATTCTCTGCATTAAGGTAAAAACCTTTAGTAATGAGGATCCCCCCTAGCACCTCCCTTCCCCTATACTTACCTTGATCTAGCGTTGTGCATGTTTGTTTGTTATTTTAAATAAATAATAAAATCACGTTAAAGCTGCATGTGAAGTTACAGAAAAGTACTATGTAGTCCTTTAAATGTGGCATTTAAAAAATAAAGAAAAAAAGGCATGAAGTTTCTCTTTAAATTCAAGCATACATCTATCTTCCTATGCCAAACCAGGCCAGATGTCCTTACACATTAAGATGGTACCTTGCAAGAGGGGGTAGCAAAGCCACCGCTCCTTGCAAGGTACGTTGCCCAAATGTTGAGTGTCAAGAGCCTCTTCCCCACATTCTGTTCTCCGGAAGAGAGCCCCCAGAAATCTTCCTCCCCCCAAGAGGAATGAGTTGTACATTAACACTCACAATTTTACAGAAAAAGTCAAATATAAATAAATACACACACCATGACAACAAAATATAAATGTAAAAAAAAACAATGTCCTCTAATGTAAATCCATCATCAACCACAACAAACTTCCACCTAATGATTCCCCATCGTCACAATAACCTGCCACCCGTGTTTGTACCCTTTCAGGGTTTGCACTGAACTCTGCATATTCGCTACCTAAATGGCCAGAATTGGCCTGTTTTCACATGTGAACCTATGGCTACTTATCTTATCCCTTGCTCCCCAACAATTGTCATTTTCCACTTTCCTGCTCGCAGGCCCCTATAGGAAACACAATCATATACGCTTTTTTTTTTGCAAAAATATGTGCATTTTAACATTTTTTTCTTAAAGTGAAAGTGATGAGATGGCTCACTGGCCAACAATCACTATCACAGAGTGGGTGGTGCGGTTATCACCCTCACCCCTGCTGGCGGGCCCCCCTCATGGTTCCCATGCTCTCTCGCTCTTACAGGGAGCCTAGGACCACAACCGCTGGCTTCAGGATAGAGAGTGGTGACAGTCCCAGGCAAATCCATGACTTGATCTTACCTGTAAGCAAAGAACCTGGAAACGATTTTGTCACTTCCAGTTTCAAATCCACCATTTCCTGGCCGGTACACCCAGGGGACACATCTAACTGAGCAAATCTGTGCTCAATTAGATGTTGTGAAGGGCAGGGGAGACATTGGGGTCTATGAGACCCCTAATGTCTCCATAAAGAGTACCTGTCACCTGCCCAATGCTTTGCTTTACTAACCCTTTGTGACAGCAAGCATGTAAAAATAAATAAAAGAAAAACGTATTTAAAACATTATAGTAAAATGTATTTAAAAAATTGCTGTAACTCCCTTTGCCCGCAAGTATCCACAAAAGCAAACATAGTTCCAGGGTATGCATGCATATGTAAACCACGGTCGCACCACATGTGTGATGAAAATTGTCAGAGTGAGAGCAATAATTCTAGCACAAGAGCTCCTGGGTAACTCTAAAATGATGGCCTGTAAAGGCTTTAACCTCCCTGGTGGTATTCCCGAGTGTAGCTCGGGGTTAACTTTCAGTACCAGAAGCGGTAACCCTGAGCTACACTCGGGATTACCCTGCAGCGTTGCTCAGGGATTCCCTCCAGCACTTACCTTGTCCTGCGTTCCCGCGATGTCCCCCCTGCAGCGTCCCCAGCCATGTCCTCCAGCCGATGCTGGCATCTGTCTTCTGGGTTCCGTTCCCTGTGAGCGTTGGAACGTACGGGGGACGGAACCAGCGGGAAATTCAAAAATTTAAAAATGTGACATTCACTCAATACACTAAAATCACATAGTATAACATTACTGTATCAAACCATTTAACATACATTTTGTCCCTAGTGCTTTGTCCTGTGCCCTGCTTGCATTTTTACTGTTCTTTCTGCCTTGAAACTGAGAAACATCCATGGCGTCCAAAAAGTGTCCCTTTCGGTGGAAAGCGGTGGAAAGCGGTTTTAGACCAGCTAGAGAACAGCGATAGTAAATTAGAATCACTTACAGAATTGAGTGATAATGATTTGTGAGGAAATTCGTCATCAGACACTGAAAACGATTTTGCGACTAAGCTCAGTGATGTGCGAACTTGGCGCTCTATTTCAAATTTCAGTGTTTTTGGTTTGATTACATTATTGAATTAACTTTATTATTGTTATATTATTTTTTTTTATGATTATTTATTATATTATAATTTATGATTTCGTGTTTCAAATTTTATCATACCCGGGATGTTTACTAGACTCTTGTTTGGACAGATTTCAAAAAGTTATTCCTAAGAATTACAGGCCTACAATAAAAAACAACATATTTCCATGCAAAAAGAAGTACCGCTTTGAGCACAGAAATACTAACATAATCAGACCGCTAGAAAGGTAAAGCATTACCTGTGGGGATTTTTGGGTACTGTTGTTTTTTTTGCAATAACAGAGGGGACGCGATTTTAAGACTTGGCATGTTTGGTATCCATTTAATCAACACAACCTCATATTTTATATTTTACCAAAAATGGGCATCATAGTGTGTGTGTGTGTGTGCATTAAAATGCATTTTATTATATTTTTTCCTGAAAATTTGTGTTTAATAAACAGTTATGCAAATGTCATGTAACATAAAAAACTGCAACTATCATCTTTTTATTCTACAGGTCCTCTGCTTTCAAAATACATATAGTGCTCTGGGGTTTTAAGTAATTTCATTGCCAAAAGTGAAGATTTGTACATGTGTGCACAAAAAAAAAACCTGCTCTAGAGCTAAACTAGTTAAACTAGAAATGCAGAAACTCATTTGAAGAAGAGACATGATCCTGCAGCAACCGACATGTTAAGCAGAGTGCAGTTGCATGACATCCTGGTTACTCTCTTTCACGTCTCCTCTATCCCTTTCCACCCAGTCCCTCCTTCACTGAAGGAATGAGAAGAAAACACAGCAGTTAGATCTAAAAGGATCCAGCATTTCAGCTTTAAGTTTCAACCCAACTCTATTACAATGGCAGACTTTACACAATTTCACAAAGAGCTCACAAAAGCATTCGAAGCTTCTAAAAATATCCCAAAGGATGAGTTGATGTTTACATATGAGGGAGTGTTGTATCCAACTGCAACATGCAACATTGACACATTTAAAGCTTTGGAAACATTTGAGACCCGTGAGGATGATATTATGATGGCAGCTTATCCCAAGTGTGGTAAGTGATTATGTAATAGAATTAGTTTGAATTAAACGTTTGAGGCATTAACTATTAAATAACAACAAATTTAGCATATGCATATTTTCACCAGAAGGCAACAGAATGGGTTGAATATCAATGTATATATTCACTTTTATAAATTAGAATTTATTAAATAAAATCAACTCCTTTTAAAGTGAACCTAAAAGGGAAAAATAACAGGCAGGCTATTTTTCATATATTCAGTGTCTTTACTGCAATAAAATGAACATACCTGCCTCTCTGTAATTCTCTTTACAATGTACACTGAACTGTGCATGTGCAGCGTAGGGTGCATTCTTGGTACTGTGCCTGTATTCACCCTGGCCAATCAAGTCGATGGAAGACCAGGCACCTGGAAGAAGCTGGGGAGAAGATGCTGGCCAAAGACCTTGCAAACATCAGAGGGGAGATTGAGCATTGTGGACTTTAATTAAGCTTTAAAGTATAACTAAAGGGGATTTTGTTTTTTCACTTTACAGTGGAGAAGGATTAGAACACTTAGGTTTTTATTACGGTCTGTGCCCCTCTCTGTTTGCTATGTTTAAAATTATTACAGAGAGTGAAAGAAAAACAAAATCCCAGCACAGGAATAAAGGGGAAATCTTCCATTGAGGACACTAATTCTGGTGAAAGCCAGGGATTCCCTCACTTAGGAGGGATTTCCTTTTACTTCTTGTTTTGGATATGGACAATAAGTGAAGGAAAATCTCCCCAAAGGGACACAGGTGGCAATAAAAACTTACTCTATCCAAAATTTAAAAAAATTGCCATTAGTTCTAATTTAAGTTTTGCTTTAACCTGTGTTAAGCTCATCTCTAACCACAACTTTTTTTTCATGTTATGAAGCCAGCTGCCCCTATTTGCAGAGATCATCAGCTAGAAACTGCCTGCAGAAGCCTGAATATGCCAGTGAAGTTCTGGCCCTTACATGTTGCATCCACAAGGACTCCTTCTGAGAGGAAGTCCTCAGGGATGCAACGCATAAGTGGTGGAGCTTCGCTAACATCATCATGCTTATACTGGCACCCTCTGGCTGACGATCTCTGCAAATAGGGGCAGCTGTCTGCATAACACTGGATAGATAAGTATCACATGTAGGTGGATGGATAGATGGAATTAACCTTTTAATTTCTGCTTGTTTCTGCTTTTGTCCTGTAAGCTTATTACTGTAGCGCTGTGGATGTGATTATCAAATAAAACGGAGAGCAGTATTTTGGTGTGTTTGTTCTATCTGGTACACGTATGGAGGGAGCTAAAGAGGAAGGTTTCTTTTACCCTATGTGGCACTGGTCCACTTTGATGCCTGAATATTGATGCAGAGGAATTTAACCCTAAGCACTGTTAGACTTCCTATAATGTAAGAGGTCTTCATTTAAGGTGAGCTTTTTGGCTGGCACATGGTGGAGCAGGGAAATATCGGTTATGGGAGCACTGCACACATATTATTATTATAAAGGGTTTCTATAGCGCCAACAGTTTGAGCAATCAGAGGTTCCTGCTAGTTAGAGCTTACAATCTAAAAGGGGAGGTTCAAGTGATACAAAAAGTAATAACTGTGGGGGATGAGCTAATGGAGAAAATAAAAGTACAGTTGTTAGGTGGAGGCAGGATGGGCTTCTCTGAAGTGAAAAGTTTTTATGGATTGCCCAAAGGAGGACAGAGTAGGAGATAGTCGGACAGACTGGGTTAGGGAATTCCATAGGATGGGAGGGGCTCAGGAGAAGCCCTGGAGGTCAGCATGAGAGGATGTGACAAGGAAACTAGAGAGCAGGAGGTCTTGGGAGGAACAAAGAAAGCAATTTGGTTGGTATTTTGAGACTAGGTTAGTGATGTAGCTGGGGGGGGCAAGTTGTGGATGGCTTTGTAAGTTGTTAGTATTTTGAATTTAATTAATTAGGTGAGTAGCAGCCAATGCAGGGATTGACAGAGAGGGGTGGCAGACACTGAACTTTTGGTAAGGTGGATGAGCCTGGCAACAGCATTCATGAAGGACTGGAGGAATGATAGCCTATGTAAAGGTAACCCAGTGAGGAGGGAGTTGCAGTAGTCAAGGCGAGAGATAACCTGGAAGTAAATTAGGAGCTTTGTGGTGTCATTGGTTGGGAAGGGGCATATTTTGGAGATGTTGCAGAGGTTGAGATGACAAGCTTTAGAAAGTGATTGAATGTGGGGCTGAAAGGAGAGTTCAGAGTCTAGGATTACACTTAGCACCCTGGCATGTGGGCAGGGGCGGACTGACAACTCATGGGGCCCCCGGGCAATAGGGGATCATGGGGCCCCTGTGTCCTTGCCCACACACAAACCACACCCAAAAAAGCCTATGAAAAAGTACCAGGGGCATCTCATGGGGCCCCCTTCTGACTTTGGGCAGTGCCTGAGTTCCCAAATGGTCAGTCCGCCCCTGCATGTGGGGACAGGTTGATGGTTGTGCTATTGATCCTGACAGGGAAGTCAGGGAAAGGGACATGTTGGAGAGGAAATATTGATAGCACAGTTTTGGGTAGATTAAGTTTGAGGAAGTGGTGCGACATCCAGACTGATGTCGGTCAGTAAGTTAGTGATGCATGAGGAGACTGGTGTGAGCTGAAGGGTAGAGAGATAGATTTGGGTGTCGTCAGCGTAGACATTATATTGAAAGCCATGGGAGGCTGACCCGGGGAGGGGGTGTAGATTGAGAATAGGAGAGATCTAATAACAGAACCTTGGGGGACCCTAATGGAGAAAGGAAGAGGAGAGGAGGAAATAGAATTGTAAGTGGCACTGGAGGTGCGGTGGGATAGGTAGGGTGAGAACCAACAAAGAGCAAATTCATGGAAACCAAAGGAGTAAAGTTTTTTGAGGAGGAGGTGTTCACCCATATCAAAGGCAGCTAAAATGTCCAGAAGTAGGAGTACAGAATATTGTATTTTGGTTTTAGCTGTCAGTGAACAGTTTGTGCATTTTAGGAGAGCAGTTTCTGTTGAGTGTTAAAGGCAAAATCTGGACTGAAGGGGATCAAGAAGGTCATTCTTAATCATGGTCACTCAGTTGGTTGTAGACCAGGTATTCAAGGTGTTTGGAGGAAAAGGGGAGCAAGGAGATGAGGCATAGTCTGTTATGATTGGTGGGGTCAAAGGAAGGACTTTTAAGTATGGGGATGATTAGTGTATGTTTAGACAGTTGAAAGATGCCAGAACAGAGGGAGAGATGAGAGGAAGATGTGAGTTAGGGAGTGTAGGATAGAGCCAGAGAGTGACCGCAGTATTTAAGAGGGACAGGTGGTTAGGTGGGCATTAGAAAAAAGTTTAGCAACCTAGTCTACAGTAGCAGGGTTGAATGTTAAGTGGGGGAAAAATCTTAAGAGTGGAGATTTCATCACGAATTGTATCAATCTTATTTTTTAGGTGATTGGCGATCTTCTGGGCAGTGAGTTAGTGGGTAGAGGTGGTGACGATGAAGTAGAGAGTTAAGGGTAGAGAAGAGTTGATGTTGACAGAATGAGAATGTGTTGAGGGTGATAAATAGGACTGCTTGGCAGTGTGGAGGAAAAAAATTGTAATTTTGGAGGACAGTATTATATTGGTTGAAGTCTGTGTGAGACATATGCCACAAACACTCAAGAGAGCGGCTCTGTTTTTTGAAACTTTTGGTGTTTGTTTGTTTGCCAGGGTTGTAAGGGTTGGGGCTTGATTCTCTGTTTAGTGAGAGGGAGAGGACTGGCATTTATTGTAGATAGAAGTGAGTAGATTGGGGTCAGGACAGGGGTGAGATTTTGTTATAGAGGTGGTAAGTAGCAGAGAGAGGCCTAAAGTGGGGAATGTCTCTACAGGTAATTGTTAGGTAATCTTAATAATGCTAGCCATATAGATTGCACTATGCAGACTATATTTACTCCTGGGACTGCCACCGTAGACTGATGGATCTTGTATCTTTAATGTTTCAAAATGTAGCATGAGACTCTATTTGCACTCAGGTGGCCGTGCATCGTAGATATACGTGGGTTCATGTGGCTTTAAGGTCATCTTTTTTTGTGTGGGTGTGTGTGGTTTTTATCTGAGCATGTTTCACATGCTTAAGTGCCTTTTTATACTTTGTATGTTTGTTATGTTATGGACCAGGGGCGGACTGACCATTTGGAAACTCGGGCACTGCCCGAGGGGCGCGGGGTCAGTAGGGGGCCCCATGAGATGCCCCTGGTACCTTTTGCATAGGCTTTTTTGAGTTTGGGCAAGGACACAGGGGCCCCATGATCCCTTATTGCCCGGGGGCCCTATGAGTTGTCAGTCCGCCCCTGTTATGGACCAAACAGGCTGGATTGCTGTGAACTGAGTTTGTTTCTAAGATACTTATCAATAGTCCTTTCTTTGGAATATACTGTATGTGCCTTGACTACTTTGAGTAGCATGCTGTCTTTATGGTGATTTACTTACATTGGGTCTGGATTGTTCCCCATTGGGAAGTTGGTCCATCTATTTTAAGAATACAATATATGTACAAGACTATAAGATGTTTACTGGATGTACCTGAATTTTCCACCCTAGAGGCAGTGGTTTCACCTTGGCTTACTCATTTGCACCTCTATGGGCAACATGCACATGCTATGAATTCCAGTCTGCCCTACTGGCTGATAATACTCTATTAAAGATTAGGAGTAGGTTCCAGTGTACTGATTCTGTCACATATGCTCCTGAGTCCTGAAGAAAGATTCCCAAAAAGCCACATATAAACTGTAATCGGAATCTTTGCATGTTGTGAACCCTTATTTGGAGGCAAATTTTTAATGTTCTGTAATAGATTTTTAATGGTACATAATAAAGTTGTTTTATGGTACTCATTTTCCCTGCTGTATGTCCACACAATGTCCATTACTACATATTCTGTTCATAGTTGTGCATTACCACCCTAGACATTTATTAAATCTTAAAAACATATGCTTACTCACAACTTAAATAAAAACAAGCTTATCAAACAACCCCAGTCATTTGCGATGTCACCTG